GGTTTATACTCCCATCATGGGTGAGGGAACACCACAGTGACAGGGAACAAGCAATCTAACATCCTTGGCTCACTGTACTTGTAAATTTTCAGTGATAGTGATTCTGAGCCTTCATAGAAATGCACACTACATGGCAGCTTTGATGGTTTACAGTAGCTAGATGGAGTACCTAGTGCTCAACAGGCTGGGGACACAGAATAACAGAAGCAGTTCTTCTTGTCATTAGTGCTAAGTTCTGTCAAGGTACATGCCTTCTGAAAGTATTATCTGTTTCATTATGAAGAACTGGCCTCCTTAACACATTCTAAGTGTTTTGACATTCACTGTATTTATTATATATGTATTTCAAAATTCAATTAGAAATACAATACTAATTAAAGGAGTTATTCCACCACAGCCAGGAATATAGAGAGACTCACATTTTGTAATATCTAACCAGGTCTTCAAACTTAGCATGGGGTACATTGTCACTGTACTTTCACAACCTAAAATATGGAGGCTCAGAGTTCTTCTGTTGTCTTAGAGTACTTCCTTTCAGGACATCTTTATGAAGAGACAGTTTCCTCCTGTGGTGGTTTGAAATAAAAGAGCCCCAAAAGGGAGTGGCAACATTGGGAGGTATGGCCTTGTAGGACTGAGTGTAGACTTATTGAATGAAGTATATCACTATGAGGGTAGGCTTTGAGGTCTCCTATGCTCAGCTATGCCTGATGTCACAGTTGCTTCCTGTTGCCTGTGGATCAAGATGTAGGACTCTGAGCTCCTTCTCCAGCATCATGTCTTCTTACATGGCACCATGTTTCCCACCATGATAATAATGGACTAAGCTTCTGAAAGTGGAAGCCACCCAAATTGAATGTTTACCTTTATCAATGTTGCTGTGGTCATAAAGTCTCTTTACAGCAATAGAAACCCTAACTAAGACACCGTCTAAGCCCTGCAGGCCTCTGAATGAAAGATAAACTGAAAGCTAAGGTTTCACTCACTTGAGGTATTGGTCTAACAGGTTTGTCCATTAAGCCTCCCACATAGATCGTGTTGGGAAGCACAGGATGAGGAAAATCCAAGGCAAAGTCAGAGCTGACAAACCACAACTCTGCTTTCCGTGGAAGGTCAGACAAAACTGGCCGAGAGCCTTCTGCAAAATGCTGCTGGATGGTGCTGTCATATTGAGAAAGTATTTCTCTTTTCTTCATGAATGAATCAAGGAACATCAGGAAGTTCTTCACTGTGGCCCAGAAGTACATTTGGTCAGTTAAACTGGAACCAAATCCTGGGACAAAAGACAAAGGGCTTGGTAGCCCATAGTCTATAATGCTAAATAGAGAGGGAAGAAAGGCCACAAATTGTTTCCCAAGTTTCTCAGCAATCAAGAAAACACAAGGATCTGTTACATCCAAAAACAGCAGTTCAAATTTCTTATTCCTTAAGGAGTCCATGATGTCCTTTCTGCTTAATAAGTGACTGCATAAGTCCGTATAGTGTTCAAAGATCTTTATATTGGTATGATGGTTAGACCTGTAAAAAAAAAATATATTTTTTGAGGAGCTTTTTCATACTATTTGGAAGACTGTTATACTCAATCAAAGTATTTCACAGCTAGACTAATGCAAACCTATAATCCAACACTCTGGAATCGAGAAAAAAGTATCAGGAGTTCAAGCCTTGTCACAGACTTATGACTTTGAGGACAGCAGGCTGGGCTAAATAAAACCATAACTCACTTAGAATAAAATTATTTTTAATATATTTTATGAGAAGAGGCTCTGAGGCTTGAGATTTTTCCTTCTGTTTAACGCTATACAAATTATAGTGTTACTTAATATGTAAAACACATTGCTTTTCATAAAATAAAATAAAATATTTTTTAATTAAAAATAAATAGGCCCATGGGAAATAATTTTCCATTCATCTCCTTACTACAGGGAGACATTTATTTTCTTCTTAATGACATTTGCTTATCAGAGTTGGGGAGGATATTCCAGGTGATAATGCTGCACCACCTTTCCATGTGAATTACAGCTGTTGTTCAAAATCTTCAGCTTTAGTCATTCTGATATAGATATAGCTCTGCTTCCCAAACTATTTCTTATTCCATCACATTTCCTCTAAGGATCTATTCCCATTCATCATCAGTGTTAGCTTATTTTCTTCTGTCTTAGAAGCCATCAATGATTATAGTGGATCTCAGAGTATCAGTCTCCATGGGCAGGTGCATAATGTTGTTTAATTCACATTATATAATGATTTTTTATAGTTGTAGAGAATCTTGCTCTATTGCCCATCTGTATAAGTTGCATGATTATAGCTTCTATAATGATCAGTGTTAAAGTCATTTCTTGTGAAGAACCAGAGAGGTTTCCTAGTGAGATCTGAGTTTGCTCTGGCAGTAAGGCTGCATAAGGGAATGCTTGGACCATAGGCATGGTTACCATGTGTTTGGAAGCAGATAAGCAACCTGGTAAGATGTACAAGTGCACCATGTCATCAGACATCAAAAGATCCACAAGATGAGAGCCCAGAGTCTGGCTTATTTTTGCTCACTTTTAAACTCTACTTCAAGTCACAAGAGCTGTGGTTTGTCTATTGTGGGAATTCACACTGCTAATGAAGGACCTTGGGGTATCTGGCATGATAGAGCCATGGTATTTTCTGGGTATGTGACTGTTTAAAACTGAGCAGGGTTGTGTACTTTTTCTCTCTTGGTATGACTAGAGACTAGAGAGCTGGTTCAATTCACCAGATGGATTCTGCAACTGGATCTACCTTATCCTGTATATGTGCATCTGTTTTCCCTTAGCATCCATGAATAAATTGACATATATTCATATATATACCCTTTTAGCTCTCTGATCATTTGTCTTCAAAGTTTCACCTGTCAGAGAGTTTGTGCCCAATATGGCTGTGTAGATATAGTGGGATCTTTAGGAGGACACCTTTGTTGAAGGTTATTAGAAACCCGTACCCTATAGATGGTTAAAATAGTCCTAATTAGACTTTGAGTTAACTTCTGTGGGAGATATAAACCTGTTCTTTCTCTTCTCTTGACTTTTCAAGTCACACATTCTTTAGCCATTATCTGGTTTAGTCACACATTTTCCCATTATCATGATGCTTTCAATCAACCTGAGTGATGCTGACACCAGGAGCTTGAACTTCTACAACTGTAAATTAAATAAGCTTCTTTTCTTTATAAACTCACCTAAATTGAATTACTCTGTTAAAACAATGGAATGTAGATCAATACATGGCATATCAAGTTTATCACCTAAATTCTATTTTTTACATATTTTATATAATAATCACTAAATACCTCTAGTAGAATGTTAATCCCTTTAAA